AGGAGTCACGCATAAGGCCAACGCACAAATTGTCATGGCTATTGACCATCCCTCAAAAGATTTGTCACCAATGAAAAGAGAGAGGCTCCTTCTGTTCCGCTAGCCAGGTGATTACGTCGGTCGACTTTCTCTATGCCATCACCCCCCTTACGGCAGGCAGTCTCTGAAAAGCTTCCTCAACAACCGACCCTCCCTCATCATTTCCACTCTCGTAGTATTCATAAGAATACTTCCATCTGGAACACTCACCCGAACGCGGAGACGGCCGGGAATGATGCACCAATTCCTCGCTGTGTCTCATGTCCGTCGAGTCCCTCAGACCTAATAGATTCACAGCGCACGAGGTAATGTTTCGTTTGTCGAGAATGCTTGGCTCAAGCCTCTGACAGAAGACACGGGAATGATTTATATCTTCAACGGACCTCAGAGACCACGCAACTTAGGGGCTGGCCTGCGATGCCAAAGACCATCCCGTCGAAGGCCTTGTCAAACGCCTGAATCAAGAAACATACTGGCAGGAAAATCCAGTTGTCAGGTATTAAAGGCAACGCCAAGCTATGCTACAATCCTCCCATCCCTATTCCCAAAAACCCAAAGGGTGTCGCACCCCATCTTCTATCCTACACTTACCTCCTCTCAAACTTCTCATCCTCGTCCCCATCAACAATAGCCTCCTCCTCCAGCTCAAGCAGAGTCTCGCCCTCAGCATCCGTCGTATCCTCCTCCCCGTCCGTCGCCCCACTAATCAACAGACTCCTCAAATCGTCCTCGCTCAGAATGGTCTCGATGCTGCCCCTGCGGATCCACGGCCTCGTCTCCCGCCGCCCCTGCTCAATGACCTTCTCGACCTTGAGCCTGTTGCTCACAAACTTCAAGATCGGGAACCCGCGCTGCTGGCCCTCGTGGATCATGCGCGCCAGCCTCGGCGGGTCGGGGTCCGAGAGGATGTGGTAAAAGTCCGACGGCTGCGTCTTGGGCCAGATGGTGATGGTGCCGGAGAACTGCTGCAGGAACAGCTGGCTCCAGTCCTGTCCCAGCGGGCGCGGCAGTAGCTCGGCGTGCCGGATGAACTTGAGCCACTTGGTCATGTCCAGCTTGAGGTAGTGTTCGACCGCGGACATGACGTATCCGCCGCGCCAGCCCTTGCCCTTGCGGTGCGTGACGGGGTGTCCCACGCTGCCCCTGGAGCTGAAGAAGAACAGGTTGATGTGCGGGTTGACCTGGCTCACGATTGTAAAGTTTACGTTAAAGTGCAGGTTGAGCGCCTTGATAGGGATATCCGTCCGCAAGCTACCGTCTTTCCACTTGTGGCCAAAGGAGTACGGGATCAGCGTCCCGTCGCGCTGCTTCATCATCAACACCACGGGGTTCAGAATGCCGGGGACGGCGGCCGAGGCCAGCACCGCAGACCAAATAACGCAGTCGGGAGAGGTGATGTAGTTGCAGAGGATCGTGGGCGAGTGCGGGTCGGCCGGGACGCAGGAGACGTTCAGGATCCTTCCCGTGCGCTCGTACGCTTCGCGGAACGTCATCGAGCCGCGGGTCCACCACGAACACTGCTTGGCCCAGTCGACCGAGTCGAATCTCGCGCCCGTCTTCCACCATCGGGGGATCCAAGTCGTGAAGCTCTCGCGACAGGCAGTGATTTTACCCGCAAGGGCCGGGACGAGTAATTTCTTGAGCTCGTCGTTGGTGCGAGTAGCCACCAGGGCAGCGACCAGGGCGCCGCCGCTCGTGCCGGTAATGACTTCGGGGAGGAGATCCGCCTCGAGGAGAGACTTGACGACACCGAAATGGTAGTACGCGAACGACGCGCCACCGGATAGGCAAAGAGCTGTCCGGCCGTAGTTGTTAAACATGCCCTTGAAAATGCTCCTCTTCTCCTCCATGGTAAGCTGCTGTGTGTTTAGAACAAACTTGATGCTCCTCTCAACTACTCCACGTTAGCTGATGACCTCCATTCCATCACTGGCGAATGCTTACCCTCGTCGACAAAGTTCTGCACCAAATTCTTCGTCCCGTAGTACGTCTGACTGTACAACCTCGGGTTCTCAACGCCCACAAAGTTGCTCTTCACGCAAGCAGACAGCAGCGCGTGGAGCTCCTCGACCGCAGGCTTGCCCCCCTTCTCCCCATCAACCTCCCCGTTCTCCTGCTCCTCGGCTCTATGCCTACACTTGCGCATCTGCTCCCACACCCTCTTCACAGTCTTGGAGTCGTAGTACGCAAAGTCGTTCTCCTCCTTCCAGCGCTGGCGGTCCAGGTAGCTATCCAGCTCCTTGGCCGCAACGACCCAGTCGCGGTAGTTGTTCGTCCGCCGCATGCTCCGCCTCAGCCTCTCCCTCGTGCCGCGCCAGGTGACGAAGTGCTCGTAGACCCAGATGTACAGCCTCGTATAAAGGTACGTCAGCGCCAGACCCGCGAGCCAGGCCCCCACGAAGAAGAGCATCGGCCACTTGAGCAGGGCGTAGAATATGCCCTCTCTCGTCTCGTCCTTGGTCCTCGTCCCAAGCAACGCCTCGGCGGCGCCCTTGGCCCGGTTCCTCCGCCGCCGCGACCCTCGCTTTGCCACCCGCTGGTTGACCGGCGCCCAGTCGTTCTGCGCGGTGATGAACATGTTCGGCTGGCTCGCGTGGCCGTTGCCGTTGGGCTGGGGCGGCGCCGTCACGTCGCCCGCGGCAGCAGCCGCCGCCGCCGCCACGGCGGACGGGTCGTCGTTTCCATCCTCGTACGTGCTCCCTCGTTTCGTGATGTCGAGCGACGAGGTGCTCCTCAGACCCGGGGAGCGCAGGGAGGTCGTCTCGTCCGCGGGAGACTGCAGCGGGTCCGGGGCGTGCAGGGCGTTCACAAAAGCCTCGAGGTCCGCGTCGTCGAGGAATTTGGTGTCGAAGTCGGGGAGGCCATCGCTGCCGAAGGACTCGGGCGGGAAGCCGTAGCTGTCGGTGTTGTAGTTGTTGCTGCTGCTGGGAGAGATCGGGGCAAAGGTCACTCTGTGGTGTTCACGTTGTTCGCGCGTGTGCTCAGCCATGTCTGCGAGCTGTGAGGTCTATCAAGTCTAGGCGCATGATATTGCAGACGAAAAGTCTAAAAAAAGGACGAACGGCAGGAAAAAGGAAACAAGAGGGTACAGCTGATGGAGAAAGTCAATCTCCCCCTTTTTTCCCTGTCGGGTGGTGCGTATGCCAGCCAATGTGTGAGACGACGTTTCTGAGTGTAAGTGGTGATGGGGGCTGGATAACGGGTGATTTCAGGGCGCTTGTTGGGAAAGCTGACTGTTCTTGGGGATGGTTGTTCGGACCGGAGCGTTTCCTTCGAGATGCTCGCGCCTCTCCTCCCTGGGGAATGCGCCCGTGATGCCACGGGTCGGATGACGTCGGCTGTAGCTCGAATTGGATTTCGTTGGGGGGCGAGTGGACACCTCTCAGTGAGCTGCAGTGGACGCGGATGGAGAGGGTGGAAGGGAGAGCATCCCGTATCCCGTGTTTCCCCAGTAGTTTCTTCACAGTGGATTGAATCAGGTGCACTTCATTCGTAGGGCGAGGGAGGGGCGTTCTTCAGTGGATGATGTGCCTGAGTGAAGCACCTCTGGCGGGATGTCTGTACCGACCAGGTTAGCCGAGATGACCATCCATGAACCGTCTGTACTCAGCAGCAGCGCTGTCTCCGTGCTCGTTTCCGAGCATGAGGAGGCAGTTATCTGCCAAGAGGGCCGTACAGGTAGATACGGCCGCGCCAATGACACGCACATGAACAATAGGTAGGTAGGTACGAGTCAAGCCTGACATAATAAGGTAAGCAACGAGAAGCCCCTGGGTCGTTGCTTCAAACATGAACATCCAGAATGTGGCACAGCTCCAAAGAAGGGTCATATTGTCACTGAACAACGTCCACTGGGAGGAGAGCAAACCACTTCGGGGCCGGCATTGTCAGCGGCATTGGATGGATGGCTGGCTGGCGGGACACGGGCATGGCATGGCCCCTCCTCGCCAATTTGGACCCCTAAGCTTGCCCCCCGTTCTGGTTCCCGCCTCTCCGGAATCCTCTGGAAATGTTACCTAACCACGCTCGCCACACGCAACAATGGTTGGCCCGCCCAAAGCATGGCTTGGATGATGTGAGCTCAGATCGACGTCCAAGGCTATCGTATCGGGGGGAGGCGGGACGACGATGATCTCGGAGGGCTGAGCCGGGCAATGTCAATGCCCTGAATGCCTTGCTGTTTGTTGAACATCAATGATAACACACTTTGTCATCATCATCATCGTCATCCACGAAATCAAGAAAATCTTGGCTGTGGCTTGTGAATCCTAAAATGCCACACTTACACGTCGCCGCTTCCCACGCCTCCCAAACTTACATCCCGCCTGCTGACACGGTGGCCTCGGTTGCATCACCTCTGGGCCGGGATCACCATGGCACAGCGGCACAGCGCCTTGCGTGGAGGTTCTGCCTACCTAGGCATTACGTCGTCTCCAGAAGCACACCGTGACATATGCACCTCTACCAGCAATACCGTTCCGAAACAATGATGTTGATGATGTTATGTTGTTGATGCAGAACTAGCATAGCAGGCTAACGATTGAAACGCACAATAACCAGATTCTCCAAGTTCCCGGGCCCGAATGAGTATTCTAGCCTAGAAACCGTACATACTGCCTCGTGTTTGGCTGACTTGGCTGCGTGGCCGACCGGGCAGCGAGCTCTGCGCCATGCCGCGTACTCATATTCCCAGTAACCAACACGCAGAGCTCTTCCAAAGCAGCAAACCTGCCCCATTACGCACTTTCACCCCCCAAGGATATCAGGTTCGAAAAGGGCCAGGACATGGACTCGGCCCCTTCGAGCAATTTGAATCGGAGCATCGTAGACGTGGCACCATGATTTCGTTCCCGTACGGACGTTTCCTCTTTTGTTTTGCCAATTCTTGACAATCGCCCGTGTACTCCATTCCGCCGTAAACACCGCCTGACCAGCTCTTCCCAGAGCAGTCGGTCCCATGCTTAGACGTACTGAGACAGCCACCGGATACCGTCGCCGTAACCTGCTCCTGTTAGCCTTGCATGATCCTCGCGCGTATTGGTAGCAGCGCGGAAACCCACCTTGTCTGAGGACAACGGAGCACATGAAAACCTCAATGGGCCTGATACCCTCCAGAGGCACCTTGCCCTTGCCAGTCGTCTGGTACATGCCGAGCTGGTGACGGAGCTCCTCCTCGGAAATGGCGTCGGGGTGGTCAATCTTGTTGCCGAGGATCACAAAGGGAACCTTGGCGAGCTCTTCCATGGAGAGAAGAGCGTCAAGCTCGGCCTTGGCCTCGGGAAATCGCTCGTGGTCCTTGGCGTCGACGAGGAAGACGATGCCGTTGACTTCAGGGAAGTAGTCCTTCCAGAGGCGGCGGGCCTGCTGGTGACCACCGAGATCGAAGGTTGTGAAGCGCACGTTGCCGATGGCGAGCTCCTCGGAAGCTGCAGACGCAAGGTGGTCAGTTTTGCTCCAGGTGGACTCGAGGACACGTGCGCACGGCTTCCCGCGGCATCGTCAACGTTGTTGGGACAGGGAGGTACTCACTGGGGTGAAGAGTGGGCTGAAGGATAGCAACTCGGTCGTTCTGGTGAATTTGTTAGCTACAGTCCCTCGTATTGGCACCAGAAGCTCCTGATATCCCATATCGGCGCATCCGGACCATGGCGGACGGGAGGTCTCTCGCAGCTTGCGGTCCAAGCTGGGCTTTCGGGTATCGTACCTTCAACATGTGCAACAGAGTCGTCTTGCCGGCATTGTCGAGACCGAGGAAAAGGAGCTTGGCGTGCTTGTTGAGCAGACCAAGGCTCGAGAGGACGTTGTAGACTGCGATGGAACACAAGTCAGTTGATTGCTCTTCGACCAGGGATGGATGCTTGGCCCAGCAGCGGCGGCGGCGAGGAAGACAGCATCGCGCGCGAGGAGAAGAAACAGCAAGCTGAGTACGTACACCAATCAATAATCCACATCTTGACGACGAAAGATCAAGTCTATTGTGCGTATGTGAGGTTGGTTCGGGGATGCGGTGGAGCAGATAGGTAGATTGAGGTCGGGATAGATTCGTTGTTCGGACTTTTGCTCCCAAGAGACAAGGCAAGGCGGCGGACGGGTGCTGTGCGGGTTGCTGAGTGCTGGCTGGCTGGTGGGCTGGACTGGGCTATCAGCGGTTGGGGTGGAGTGCTGCTGCTGTGCTGTGTGCTGTCGGGTTCCAACTTGCTTGTGGTCGGTGCTGATGCTGAGGTGCTGAGGTGTGCTTATGCCTTATATTTGGGGCAAAACTTATCGGAGATGCTCCACTCTGGCAGGCAAAAGGTGTTGGTGCGTCAGAGCGAAACTCACTCTGGCTTTTTTGTGAGGATCACGGCAAGCAAAGGATGATGATGTACAGGTAGTGAAGTTTTGAAGGTCTAAATCGTTCTCATCTCTTCATTTATGTAGAGTTTGAAGGAACACGTTGCGATTTTCCAGTCACTCGACACGTTGAGGCATCCGAACTTATTTCGAACTCAATGTCACATAGATGGCAGAATCCGCCATTGCGGTAGGCCATATATATCCTATCAAGAGCTTTATGGTCATCATATATGGCAATGAGTCACTGTGAATGCGATGTGGACAAGTTGTTGGAGATCTGCGATATATCGCAGGAATGCAGTTGATCAGGCTCCCTAATGCTATGTGTTCGCTCAAACAACCATACAGCCTTCAAACACGCCATTCCAGGGGTATTCGTGCTCCGTCCCAACGATAGAAGATAAGAAAAATGAAGCGAAAGAAATGTACGAGGCCCCGTGCGTCGGGTTGGCCTCTGTGTAAAAGATATGTACAGTCCATCGGACAGTAAATAGTATCATATATGTCATGATTCCTCTCCCATGCCGTGCACCATCCCATGCCAAACGCCGAGCAAGACACCCCTAGTCTCGCTGTAAATGCAAATCAACAAACCCCACCCAATGCAGAAAATTGTCTGTAGTTTAGACTGAGAGAACGTAGTTGCCCTGGTCGATCTTGCCGGCCATGAGCAGACCAAGCTCTCTCATACGCTCACAGCCGAGGCCGCGCTGTGGCTTGCGCTCAGGGATCTGACCCTTGCGAGCGCGGTTGCAGTACTTTTGGTAAAACTTCTCCTTGCGACGTTGTCGCTTTCTCTCCAGGCCCTTGACGATGTCAATGGCGCCGCGGACGTGGATGTCGTTGGCCGGAGCCTTTGTGCGGCGTCCCTTGGCCATGTGGGGAAACATGGAGGGGGGACGGGGGAGAGACTTGGTAACAGTAAGGCCGGGGCGAGAGGCCAGAGTCTTGAAGGTAATAGCGCCCTGTACGTTGCGAGGGGATGCGGGAGGAGACCGCAGTGCCTGGGTAGGAGGGGGAGAGCGAAGACGGCGGGGAGAAGGACCATCAAAGAGGCAGCGTCCACGGGCCTTGGGAGCCGGAGAGGCGCGGCGCTTGATAGGCGCGGGAGAAGCACGGCGCTTGATGGGTGCGGGAGAGGCACGACGCTTCATGGGGGGAGGAGAGCGGAAGCGCTTGGGAGAGGTGTGCTCCGACTTCCTGCGAGCTCTTCTCCTGTCCTGTCCATGGTGGAGGTCCTCCATCTTGCCGTGGAGGAAGTCCTCGTCGTCACTGCTGTGGTGAACGGGGTTGTAGATCTCCTCATCGCCCTCGTCTTCGGGGTCCGAAGCAGGGAAACTGGGGTCAATGTCCTGAGGGATAAGCTGGAGCTTCTCGCGTCTGCGAGCTGCGAGGCAGGAGATGTAGGCATCCTCCATGGGGCGGTCCTCATCGAGGGTACCGCAGACAAAGTCGGTGCTGTCGGGGAGCTCGGGAGTGCCGGGGCGAATCTTCATACGCTGGGTCTTGCCGCGGCGAGCACGAAGGCTGGTGCGCGAGGCGACTGAAGAATCGGAAAGCTGCTCAGGGAGGGAGGGACGGCGAGCCACAGGAGTGGTGTCGATCTTCTGAGCGGTAGAGCGGCCGGGCGTCCAGAGGTTGAGATCATCGTCTTCATCGTCCTCCTCGTCGGAATCAGCAAATCCCGTCTCCTCGTCGGTCTTGTAGCCATCCGAGTTGTCGTCGTCCTCATCCTCATCCTCATCGTCCTCGTCATCCTCGTCATCTTCGTCGTCCTGCTCCTCCTCATCGTCCTGATCATCGGCATCGTTGTCCTCATCGTCGTCGATGGCAGTCTCAAGATCATCCTCGTTCTCCTCCTCCTCAGCCTCCTCCTCGGCCTCAATCGCCAGCTTGCGGATGGCGTTCTCCTTCTGCAGGGTGTCGTCGACAGTGATGCGGCGGCCCTGAGAGGTGAAGGCGTGGCGGATCCAGTCATCCTCGCGGGGAACGTCGCTCGCAAACTCGTGGAAGTGAGAAGACTCGTTCTGCAAGTCGTTGTCGTTGGCGGTAATGTATTTCTTGGTAGTAGGCGACTTGACATCGACAGCGACGCGAGGAGGTGCGAGAGTAGGTCGCGGGGAACGCGAGCGAGACTTGCGAACAGTCGCGGGCGAGCTCTCCTTCAGGGAAGGGGGCTGGAGCATAGCAGCGGCCATCTCCAGGCGTTGAGGGGGAGTGTTCTGCGTGGAAGCAGGGCGCTGAGGAACGGGGCAGGCGAACTTGATGCAGCTTCTGCGCTGAGGCTCCTGGGCAGAAGGGGCCTTGACCATAGGCTGGGCCTGAATGGGCTCAGCAGGCTTGGGCTTTGCGCAGGCGAACTGGATGCAACGCTTCTTGGGAGCTTCCTGGGCGGGCTCCTGAGGACGAGCAGCGGGAGCTTGCATGGCCAGCTTCTGAGGTTCGTCGTTGAGACGGAGGAAGCGCATCTCGGGGATGGGAGGGCTGGGAGTGTTGGCGCGAGAAGGGCTGGTAAGGCCAGTGTCGCTCGTCAAGTCGGCGGTGGAAGCCAGGCTGATGTTGCTGGCCATTGAACGGCGGCGGGCAAAGAAGGACATGCCCGGGCGGGCTTCGGGGTCCTCATCCTCGGAAGGGCTGTGGAGAGCCTTCGTCAGGAGAGAGGTGTTGTGGTCCAAGGTAGTGCGTCGGATAGGATTCCTCTTGAACATGCTGCTCATGGGAGAGACGGGCACCTGGGTGGGATTTTCCGGAGGCTCGTCAACATCGGCGGTCTCGTCTTCTACCATGGAGGGCATGTTGGCGCAATGTGTGGACCAAGCCAGGACGTTTGACGTCGCGGCGTCGTGTGTTGTGTTGTGCGTCATTGTGGATAGGTGAGGTCGGTCAAGAGGTGATTGCAAGGTTAAATCGGGCTCTCGGCTCGAGGTGTGGCGAAGGGTGGTATTCCAGGCCAAGTCGTTCAACGATGCGTCTAGCAGGCGTAACCGTTCGAAGGTCGACTTCGTGAGAATATGGTAGTAGTCGGTCGTAACAGTAAAAGTGCTCGCACAAGCGGCTCTTGTAGTGGTTTGTATATGATGGATGTTTTGTTGTTTTGTATGTCGAAGAGCGGGTAGCCCTCAAGAGGACGTGCAGAGTGGGAGATCGTCTCGGAAGACAACTGCAGCTGACCAAAAAGTGTCCCTAGGGACCGTGAGGCTATAAGGACAGAACGGACATCGTCAAAGGGATCTTGTTCTGAAGTAGTAGTGGCAGTTGAGGGAGATTATAGGACGACCGGGCGTTGCCTCAATGTGAGGCGTAGTTGGTGGGATGGGAACAGGTCGATTCAGGGTCCTGGGTGTACAAGAATAACTGAATCGGAGTGTAGATCCCAAATGAAAGGGCGGGCTTGGGCGTGGCACAAGGATGACTGTGTCGTGGGCGAGCAGATGACGTCGGGCCTAGCGTGGCGCAGGAAAGGTAGTGTAGAGTGATGTGTGTTGGTGTTGGGTTGGGCGTGTGTGAGAGGGAAATATCTGGGAAAGGATAAACGGCAACGGGCGGTAGGCAGTAGAGTGCTGTGCGCTGGGATAGATGCTCGGGCGGGTTGGAAGAAGTTTAACAGGTTCCGGGTTATTCTTGGCGTGTTCGGGGATGGACGTGGGATGAATTCAGGATGCTCGGAGGCTGAGGGCTTGGGCTCTTTTCTGGCCGAGCAGGAGTGTGGTGTCTGGGAGAGCCAGTTAAGGGTAGGGGGCAGATGGGTATGTAGAAGTATTTGCCGGGGAAACCCAACGCCAACGGGGCCAGGACCTAGGACCTAGGACCTGACAGAGAGAAGTGGGAGTGGCGACGGGTACGGATAGAAGCCGCGACTAGCGGAGGTCACTCGTCGAGCTTTTTTGTTGTTGTTAGGGCAAGGCAAATTCCCTTTACCGCCTCGTTGGTGCTGCCCGTTGCTTCGGGAAGTGTGGTCGGGTGGTGTGGTGCGTGGTGTCTGTGTCGATTGATGGTGGGTGGGCGTATGAGTGTGTGTGTGTGTGTGTGTGTGTGTGTGTGCCAGCTGGTAGATTCCAGTCTGTTTCTCTTCTTCTCTGTTGCTCTCTATTCCAATAAGAAGGGAAAAAGCAGAGAGGCCGGAGGAGGGGAAGAAGAGTGGGCGACGGGCGAGTGATTGCAGATTGATTGAATGATGGATGGGCGGGTATGTGGGCGTTATGCCGTAAGAGGGCGTGGGATGCGGATAAGGTCGCTCGCTGCAACAGTGCAACACGCAAGTCGTCTTTCGTTTCCTGAGGAGCTGTTCCGTCCTCGTTGTCGTTGGTCAGGCGGGCAGACGGACAGAGAGGGTGAAGGGAAACACCAGCAGAATAAGGTGCGGTGGGTGTGTCTGGCGTAAGGTGGTTTTTTTGGGGGTACTCCCTTTGTGCGTCCTTGTCGCGTTTCTGCAGGAAATTTGGCAGACAGGCCGGCAGGACAAGGGAAGGGAGCCAGATGCGTGGACGCGGGTTGCCGAGGAAAAAGAAAAGGCTCAGACTTTGGATCAACCTAAGACCTTCGGAATCTGGATCTGTTGGATCTTGGACCGCAGACCGTAGACCTCAAAAGGCAAAAGGGAGAGAGAAAGTTGCTT